AACTTAGCCTTTCTTCACCACCTGCCCCACCTTGCAGAAAGTTGACTTATTTTCCAAAGCACATTGTAAATACACCCATTAGACCTTCAAATGAAAAGTATTTGTGGAGGACTATATGTTAATCTCTTTAGTGAGTTTTTGGACTTAAAAAACAATGCTTATTCATATTTGAGTCCCCAGAAACTTATTCAATGATTGCATTCTCAGGATATAATTGATACATTGAAGAATTGTTAGTCTGACGGCCGGTGAGATAGCTCAGCCGACTAAACTCCTACTTTGTCAAGCACAGGGACCAGGGTTCAACCCCAGTCCAGCCTGCTGTGTCATCCCTGTGTACAGGTAATGCTGAGCCTAGACTGAGTCCAGGAAGGGCGGTGCATGCCTGTAATCTGAGCACCGGGAAGGCTGAAAACAGGAGGGTCACTATGAGTCTGAGCTGCGTAGTGAGACCATAGGATACAAATTCATAGCTGAAAAAAAAGAATTAAAAATTAAAACAATGAATTGTTAGTGCCCCCTAGGCAATCCTTAAATACAACATAAACCTCCTCCCTAAGTCTGAGACGATCCTGGGAAGACGAGGTAAGTGGTAAAGCACTGACAACTCACTAAATCTCTTCTGTTACGTAGTTCAGGGAATTGCCAGTGTTCACATTGTATTCTCTGTTGTCATCAGTATGTCCGTGGGGATTTTCTATTTAGCATCTCTTTGACTTCTGTTCCCTTAGGAAATAACAATCCTTCTGTACTTGTGTGTGTGTGTGTGTGTATATGTGTGTGTGTGTGTGCTTCCGTGGTGTTTTTCCAGAGCAATTGGAGCCAACCCTCTTTACTGTGATTGTAACATGCAGTGGCTATCCGACTGGGTGAAGTCGGAATATAAGGAACCAGGAATCGCCCGCTGCGCAGGTCCGGGAGAAATGGCCGATAAGCTGCTGCTCACAACTCCCTCAAAAAAGTTTCTATGTCAAGGTACGATGTCCTCATTTGTATGTCTTTTATAAAAAAATAGCTAATTGAAAAAGAAAAGCAAAAGAGGACCATTTGATGCTAGACTTTGAAGATATCAATGGGAAGCCCCTCAAGTATTCCTTTTCAACCTGTCCCTAACGGAGACAGAAGGTACCTGAGATGATCGAGGAAAAAGTTAGGCTTTTAAAAAAATATCCAAAACGAGAGACCAAGGTGATAGCTGAGTGGAATAAGTGCTTGCTTGGCAAGCACAAGGTCCTGATCTTAATCCCTGGTACTACCAAAAAAAAAAAAAAAATCCAAAACTGATTGATTAGACATGACTAAGTTTTCTTGAAAATGTAAGTACAAATGCAGAGAATACAATTGCTGGATATTCCTTTCACATGCTTTAATAAGTACAATGTTTTGCTTTTGCCTTGTCTGAACATGCCCTGCCCTTAGGGCTCCCAGGGCCCTGCGGCTTCCTGACACCAGGTAAGGGGCCATGGGCTCCCCCGGGCTCCAGCCATACCTCTGACCTGCCTGCATCCTGTGCTGCTGACTTCCTGTGTTGATACCCTTCATCCTCCTTGTTTCCCTTCCCTTTCCCCTGGATGTACTTGTGACTTCTAAATGGCACCTTATAGCAATACTGTTGCCCTCTCTTATTGCAGTAGTAACACATGCAAAAAATCTGAATGGGAAAAAAATCTAAAATCTAACTTGGAAAATGTAAACAGAAACATTTTATTTCTGCAGAAAGAAATAAAATTAACCCTTTATTACACCACCTACAAAGAACATAACTAAATTTATTTTGTGTATCTTTCCATTTGGGACAGTCAAATAAATGAATTTAGATTTCTCCCATGAAACAGGGTAGAAGTTACATCATAGATGTTTCAAGAGACTCAATGAAAATTATGTAGAGGAAAAAAAATTGTTGAAATTTCTAAATGTATAATCCTCAGAGGTTGAATAAGCATGTTTTATATGTAAAACTAAATCCTATGCCTTGTAGACCACAGAGAGAAATAAGCTGTAGTCATCCCTTCAAAGACCTGCTAGTATGGTTTTAAAAAAAAAATAAGCTTACAACAACTGAAAATTTATGTGGAGAGGACATGTTGTAGTAGGTGACACTGGGCAATAGACTGATTAAAGCATGCTCTCTCCAAGCCAGCTAGGGTGAAATCCCAGGTTCATTTCCTGGTAGGCAGGTAACACTAACTTAATCACCTAACCAGTCTGTATCTCAAGTTCTTCCTCAGATAGAAACAAAAATATGAACCTCAAAATATTTCATTAGAGTTGAATGAATTGGTATAATTGGGCCTGCGCACTCTAACTCAATATAGGTTGACATTTAATTGTAATACAGCATTTCAAAGCATGAACCTCCCTCAAGGAATGACAGCATACAGTGCATGATTTGTGATGAAGAAGGAATTTTCAAAAAATCTATTTAGTCCCAATCATTTTAAAATTGACATTTCTAATGCTTATTCCATACCTCTGTGTGAAATTGCAATTGCAGCAGATTTTACATTTTACAACATTTATAATATGTTTCTTCCACGGATCTTTTAAATGTGTTTGATGGTATCTTAATACCAGACTGAATACTAAAAGAAACAAAAATAAGATCCTCCTGAAAATATTACATTGTCCCACCCCCAAAAACTTCTGTATTTTTTTCTTGAACTTCTATTGCTAGAAATAGCATTTTATCATTCTTTGGTAGCAAAAAATGAGCTTTGCAAAAGGATTTTCTAATTTCTTGCTATCAAAAGCCTACTTTTATATTTTTCTCTAAATTTAATTATTTTTTTAAATTTTTATTTATTTATTTATTTATTTATGAGAGAGAGAGAGAGAGAGAGAGAGAGAGAGAGAGAGAGAGAGAGAGAGAGAGGGGTGTGTGTGTGTGGCCAGCTCAGCCCACCAGGGGGCGGGGCTGGCTGGCATGTGGTGCTGGGGGATCCAACCGCGGTCCCTGATGCTTTGCTAAGCTTGTTCTAAGTAGGTGCTTTAGACCACTGAGCCATCTCTCCAGCCCCTCTAAATTTAATTATTGTCTTTAATACTACAGCATCATGAATGAAAACAGGACAGATATTTATGTGTCTTTAAAATAAGATGTTAAAAACTAAAAGTAAGCTTTTAATACAGTGCTTTATGTAATTATATGCATTGATTAAAAGAACTTCATAAGTACAAGCTATTTTAAATTGTTCTTCTGTAATCCTAGATGTTTCCTTGAGGTAGTACACCATGCTAAGTTTTTGGTAGATGGACAGGTGAAATAGGAGAGGAAAGATTGTCAAGGGGTAGAAGCGAAGGGAAAAGGAGCATAAAATCTCATTTTTAAGCATGTTATCCAGCAGATTACATGGGAAAGTTGAGAAATTACAAATTGATTCTGTTACGCCTCTCTATGGCCTGGGATACCCTTACTTCACTTTTAAGGATAGTGATGTTTGAGTGTATGTCTTAACTGTACAATTTCTCAAAGCTATTTCTTTCTTTTACTATTTTTCTTGCTTGCTACCTTTCCATCTTCTTTTCTTCCTTTCTGTTTCTGAGACTCCTTTAAAAATTATGACACAATTTTGAAAAATTACCCCTTTCATCGTACTCTTATGATATCATGGTTCACATAAATTTATTTGATGCTCTCAGAAGTCCTATATATACACAGTGCGTGCCTGTGCATTTAATCCATGATTTGGCTGATTAATTGTACCTGTATTTTCACTGAATGACAATAGCATCTTGTGTACTTAATGATGCATAAATAGGAATAAGCTTGAGAAACTGATTATCATCAGCCCTGCTGTCTACAACTTTCTGCAGTGAAGGAAATGTTTTCTGCCTCTTCCACCTGATAGAGTAGCCCCTAGGCACACATAGTGATTGAGCAACCAGCGTGTGGCTAATTTCATAAAGGAGATGAATTTTTCCATGTTATTTAAATCTACACTTAAAATATCCACACGAGAGTCATGGCTAAGATTTTGAGTAGTGCAATGAAGTCTGACAGAAGACTTCATTACAGGTGTGTAGAAGCCTCTTGTTCAGACAACCTGCTGAGGGCGAGGCTGTCTCACCAGGTGGACAAAGACACAGGAGCGAAGGGTGTGGGAGGAGCGTTCAGACTGAGCCGAGGCTCAGTCCCTGACAGATGCTGGCAAGCCCTAGATTTGCCAGCTGAAGCCTGACAGTTTGGTTTAACACTCAGCTCCTTAGCAAATCAATAGACCGCATATTTTTCAAGGTATATTTTAAATTGAATGGCAAACAACACTGGTGCTGCCAGCATACACATTGGAGAGCCAACCAATATACTGCAATAGCAGTTAGCAGACCTTCGGATTTATTGTTTTCTATACCTTAATATAATGTTAGAGCGATAGCAAGCCCTGAGATTCATAATGCTTTTTGCATTTGTGTCAGAGTTTGTCAAAATATTGTGAAGTTTCACTGTCTTATTAATTCTCTGCTAGTTCAAGATTTATGACGATTCAGAATGACAATCTGCCAGTGCCCTGCTTTTACTATTAACATAATAACAAAAATAACAGTGATCGCTCACTTCATTTTCGAGCACTTTTCGTTATGCTGAGCACTTTATCTGAAATTTAATTCTTTGATCTTTATATTGTTCCTATGCAAGAAACATTGTTTTCCCATTGGACAAACAAAACTTTTGTACTTAAAGTGAATAAGTAATTTATTCAGAATCACTGTGCTGCTGGAGAGATTCAAACGGGAACCCTCAATCTGAAGCTAAAGCTTTATGATAATATGTACTGTATAATTTTCAGTAAAAATGGCCTAAACAAATGAACACTGTTAATAAGGTCGTCACCCTACTCTGGAATCATATTGAGAACAGGCAAGTGTTGTACTGTCCTCAGATGTGTTCCACAAACTATTTACTCATAAGAAATAGATTAGTGGAAAGCAAAATTTTCTAATCTGTTAATTAAAATAATTCACTCAGGGAAATCTCCTGAGTTCTGTGGTGTTGAACATGCATGCTTTATGAGCTCGTAAGCAACAACATAATGTTTCTTTGAATATTTCATGATTTGATATTTTCTTATTTTAATTTAACTTAGCCCATGGTAATGTACATGGCGCGATGTGTGTGTGTTTTATGAAATATGTGTAAGTAAAAATTCCCCAAATTGCCAGTGTGTAATTCTCAACTACAGTAGGAAGTATTCCTTATTTAAATCCATGTTTACTTATCTGTAGTTCAATATATTGTAATGCTTTATTGAAGAAAAAAGTGACAAATTGAGAAAAGTAGCAAAAAGCATGCAACATTGCTAGCTTTTAACATTTCTTTTTTATTCTCCTGGTCTAGTGAGGTTTGCTTAGCTATAAAGACAACTAAACTGTTTCCTTATTTCATGTGTCAGAAATTCATTAAGTGTGTAAGCATTTAAATGAGTGAACATTGTATTGGAAATGAATGATAGCTTCTTTGGTTTATTTAAAGAATTCAACTGGGTACCAGGCAGAGTCCTGTGGTGTGAAGGGTACTATAGACAACACAGAATTAAACTCCTATTCTCATAGAAAGTGTGTTTTATGAGAAAGTACATTAAATCGATCATAGTAAAGTCATATTGAAGTTTGGTGATGGAAATATGCATAAGCCATCCATAACATGTACCCAGACTTGTCAGTGATGGCATCGAAATGCCACCACCAGGTGCTACAGGTGATCTTCCAATTCTTGCTGCGAGGCAAGTGCAGCTGAGAATAGAGCACAGAGGAGAGGGAGAGGGAGGCCCAAGTGGCCGGGTGGTTGAGTGCAAAGAAAAGGGCAGGAATGGCTGCTAAAGAATTTCACTGCTTCTTTAGTAGAAGCCAACTCAATAGTAAGAAAAAAAAATGGTGAAAACTTTGTGATTCCTGAAATGGCTAACGGTCACCACCCCTTGTTCATGCTCTTTCTCTGATTTATACAGAGAATCCCATGAATTCTAGAGTTACCAGTGAAA